AGTTCTCCCAGACCTAAGAGGTCACCATGTGTTGGTGCGAACCCACAACACAGAGTTCTGCATTCACGCCCCTTGTACAAGCTGGCGCACCAGATACTTGTGTGGTCCCAGGGCAAACTCCTCTCGCTGAGAGCAGTTCACATTCCTGGGCATCTCAGTATGGGAGCAGACATCCTGTCGAGGCAGGGGCTGAGGCCCGGGGAATGGATGCTTCACCCCGAGGTGGTGAAGCAGATATGGAGAGTGTTTGGCCAGGCTCAGGTGGACCTGTTGCGACTCATATGATATCACACTACCCCCTCTGGTTCTCTCTGACTCACGTGGCCGAGGCTTCGTCTGTACGCCTTTCCTCCGATTTTCCCCCGTTCCAGCCGGGCTGAGTTGGGTCTCAGGCCTGATTTCTCTCCTCAACGGCGCTCTATGGGAGATTCCCGTCCGTGACGTCCCGTTCAGCTATTGGACTGATTTCACATGTGATTCAGAGCGTGGGTCGCAGAAGGCGTTCCCCTAGCGTTTTCGACGCAGCTCGAGTTCCCTCGAGGAACTAGGGTTACATACATAACCTGGGACGATTTATATAGATAGATTTTATCAAGTTAATCATTATTCCTGGTCTCCTTCAAATATATATAAATATATATGAAGAGTCTGTACAGCTATCATCAGAGGATTGTGAATGACTAGTGTCATCTTTCATTTTGATAGCTGTTAAACGAGACAATGAAAAGGATACATCAGGTTCAGAATATTGTACATGATATTGTTGTGTAAAGGAACATGAGGAACATCAAAATGATCAAATCAAAATTATGAAAATGAATGTCTGCCTTGTTTTTATTCTAGTATCTAGTAAGTGTATAAATTGAGTTTTGAATTATCATGTAAAAAGAAATAAAGAGTTAAAGAGAGAAGACAGGGAAAGGAAAAATAGTGGACGTGCACACAACACTGTTAAAGACAGTAGGGCGACACACTGTTGCATGTACACTAGTACTAAACTGTCCTTTTCTTATGTACCATCAGTGCCTGATTATTTAATTTAGTGGTTTACTTTGAAATTTAAGATGTTAATGTTGATTATTACACGGCTCTGTGGAATACTTGATTCTGATTGGTCAGTTGCGACATTCCGAGGTATGTTATTCCTCGATAACAACCGGTAAAAGCTGATAACACAGGCTCATCCGGGTAACTGAAGTCAGCGCTATACTCTTGCCAGGGACAGTTTCTCTTCATGGGAGCTTTGCGTTTGCTTAGCTAATAAAATATTAAAACTCAATTCAATATTATGTGTACAATTATTAATTATGACATCCTGGTATCACGGTCTCGCTCTCGTTTCATACAAACACAGCTGCATTGATTGTTTTGTACACTGTAATGGATTATAAGATGTAACTAACAAACTGGTAGGTACCAGTAGGTACTCCAATGGTGGTGTGATGTTTTTATCTGTCAGGCCATCTTTTCTTCGTCATGTCAAGCCATGTTAATAAAAATAAATGTGTTATGTTTTCGGTATGACCTGTGTTGTGTCTGCTTTGATCCTTACAAAAGAAGGTTAAGCGATGTCCAACCATTAACAACTCATTTAATACTGGTGTAAAATATATCACTTAGGTATAGTTAACAAGTTGTTAATAAAGGATGAAAAAATGTTATGCAAGTCTTTAACACTTAATTCAATTACAATTAATGTTAATTACAGTAATAATAATCGAAAAACTCACTATTTGTTTATAACTTGTTTATGTGTAAACAATATAGAAACTACAATTTATAAACTAATAATTAACTGTAAATTAACAGTTTGTAAATTATTTGTAAGTACTTTATTAGTCTGTATTTATTATAATGTTAACAAAGTTGCTTAAAATGTTTACAAAAAATGAAGTCTATCCCTAAACCTAAACATAACCACTTAAAAAATTAAATGACATAATGCTGACAATATGAAATATATACAAATACTCATTAGATCACATTGTTAAAATACATCAATTAGGATTAGAGGTAGAGTTAGGCTACAGTTTGTACAGTATACGAACTGAAAATTAATGCAATTAATGTCCAATAAATGTTGGTTTAAAGCACTTAATGATATTTTCTGATTTTCCATGATCTAGTCTAAAGTGAGTACTATTTATGGTCAATATGTTATTAATAAAGCATTATATAATTCTTTACATATGAGCTAATTAAACAGCAACACTTTGTTAATTACTGTAACGATAGAGGCGTGACAACAGAATTGAGGATCCATCTGTTGCTTTTATTAAGAGCGTAGTCGGACAGGCAGGGTCAAAACACCAGAAAAACAGTAAATCCAGGGTAATCCAAAAGAGTAGTCCAAAGAACAGGCAGTCAACGATCACAAACCAGGTAAACAGTCCAAGAACAAAACACGAAGGCAAGGCAAGGCAAGACAAGGCAGAAACTAGACAACATAGGCTAAACAATAATCAGCAATGTGTGTGTGGATGAGTGCAACCTTCATAGTGTCACTGATGGGAAACAGGTTTGGTGTGATAATGTGTTCTTAGGCAGGGGTTATGGGAAATGGAGTCCGGAGAAAACAGACGAGACCCATTATCGTGACAATTACAGTGATAATGAATGAATTAACTCACTATTTGTATATAGTCTATTAATGAATTAACTACAGTTTATAAATTATTAATGAACTACAATAGTTTTAAAATGAGTTATTAGTGCTTTGTTGTTGTATAATTATTATAAAGTGTTACCTAGTAAAGTTCAATCAATAAAGTCAATAAAGTGTAATTATACTGTATTTATCACAAACATGCACTGCGGATTATAAACTATATAAACTCATAAATTCACATTAATATAGCTGTTTGTTTTGTTTACACAGGCTATGTGGATGTAATCTCACTGCTCAGTCCTGTGAGAGTTTGTCTTCAGCTCTACAATCCTCAAATTCCCATCTAAATGTGCTGGATCTGAGTAACAATGACCTGCAGGATTCTGGAGTGGAGCTGCTTTCTGAAGGTCTGAAGAGTCCAAACTCAAAGCTGGAGATACTGAGGTTTGAGTTTCAAATACTTGATTAATTCTTTTGCAAGTTAATTATTAAAAAACCACACTGTTGTATGCAGTTACTGTGTTCTTCTTCAGATTTTCCATCTGTAATCTCACTGCTCATTCTTGTGAGAGTTTGTCATCAGTTTTACAATCCTCAAACTCTGTCCTGAGAGAGCTGGACCTGAGTAAAAATGACCTGCAGGATTCAGGAGTGAAGCTTCTTTCTGAAGGTCTGAAGAGTCCAAACTCAAAGCTGGAGATACTGAGGTTTGAGTTTCAAATACTTGATTAATTCTTTTGCAAGTTAACTATTAAAAAACCACACTGTTGTATGCAGTTACTGTGTTCTTCTTCAGATTTTCCATCTGTAATCTCACTGCTCAGTTTTGTGAGAGTTTGTCATCAGCTCTACAATCCTCAAACTCTGTCCTGAGAGAGCTGGACCTGAGTAACAATGACCTGCAGGATTTTGGAGTGAAGCTGCTTTCTGATGGACTGAAGAGTCCAAACTCTAAGCTGGAAATACTGAGGTTTGAGTTTCAAATACTTGATTAATTATTTAGCAAGTTAATTATTAAAAAACCACACTGTTAAGATTTATTCTGTACGCAGTTACTGTGTTCTTCTTGTTCAGATTTTCCATCTGTAATCTCACTGCTCAGGCTTGTGAGAGTTTGTCATCAGTTTTATCCTCAAACTCTGTCCTGAGAGAGCTGGACCTGAGTAACAATGACCTGCAGGATTCTGGAGTGAAGCTTCTTTCTGATGGACTGAAGAGTCCAAACTGTCAGCTGGAGATACTGAGGTAATGGTTTTACATA